ATATATATATATATATATATATATATATATATATATAATGTATACACCTTTTTTTATACACACAGTACACCATCATCAGCAACCAGAGGAGCCTGTTCAGGGACAGACTGCTCCTTCCCAAGTGTAGGACGAACAGACTGAAAAACCTATTTGTCCCTTAGGGTGCATTCACACCAGCCCTGTTTAGTCCGCTTTAATCGAACTCTAGCTCGTTTTCCTAGAAAGTCTGGTTCGTTTAGGGAGGTGTGAACGAGCCATTGAACTCTGTCACGGAACAAAAAGGCGAACTCTGTCCCGGGCTAAAACCTAGGTCTCGGTCCGGTAGAAGAGAACTCCAGCGCGATTCGAGTGCAGTGTGAATGTAAACAGACCGGGACCCGCTCCGCAGGACAAACAAACACGCATTTCTCTGACCTTATATGGAGCCGTCAGCTGCCTTGTGTGAAAAACAATATTCTCCATGGTCTTCTGTCTCATCTTCTGCTCATGCTAAGTCCATTTTTGAAATATGACAACATATAACTCCTAAAACTGCTAAAACTTGATGCCACTTCATTTTTATTTTTATTTACTGAAGAAGAAGAAGACGTGTCTTCAGAGGTTTTTGTATCGTTTCTTTCAGTATTTCTTGGTGCAGCGCCCCCACAGGCGAGTGGGGGAATAGGTTGGTTCAACAGGTTGACTCGACTGCACAGTGCAGTGTGAATGCAAACGCACCAGCTCAAATGTAAACATGAATATTGGTCCCGAACCGAGTCTACCGGACTATCTGGTGTGAAAACGACCTTAAACCATCAGACTGTACAACTCCTCACTGGTGGGAGGAGAAGTAAAAGGAGGACAGAGGATGAGAAGGAGCAGCAGCACCACCACAACCTTATAATAGCCACTGGTTATATAGTATTATTTGCTGTTAAATGTGTATGTATGTGTGTGTGTTTGTGCTGCTGTTCGGCGTATTATTTTTATGCTACTAGTGCTTAGTGTATTTTTATTAAAGTTTTTCTTAGTTCATATTTTAGATCTTATTACTGTTTTTCTTTTACATTTTAATACTTTTGTTGGATGTAACTGGGACCCTGTGTACACAGTTTTGTTCCACCACATGTACCACATGTGCTGGAATGACAAATAAAGAACCTTGAATCCTAGAATATTATTTTATTATATCTACTCGAACAATTCTATTCGGGGGGATAGCTAATTCTTTTTGATGAGTCTCGTCATAGACTTCCAAAAACATTTATGGGGAAACCAAACACCCAATCTCAAGTCGTTCGTCTAAAAGACAACAGACAATTGCACCAAACTATATTTTGCCATGTAAAGCTAACTTAAACCAAGTTAGAAATGGGAAAATAGTTTGGAACCCTTTTCTATAGGTATAAACCCCTGTAGGTACCCCTTTTCAGCATGTTCCACCCCTTAACTGGTAGTTGTAGCTGTTCCCAATCATAATAGCTTACACACCAGGTGCATATAGTTTAAGGCCTTATGTAAAATCCCATTCATAAGCCCACCTTAAACCACATAATTGCATGTCACATTGAACCAGAACTGCACCGACTGGACGTCGCTCAGAGACGACCTTCGCTGGAGGCGACCTGCAATCCTGACGTGGTCTCCACTCTTCGTCCAGTGGCCGCATCTTCAGTTCAATCCAAGGGTACCCCTCTGTATGCTGATCAATCAACACTTCCAATCGTTGTGGATTTACCGTTGTGGATTATATGACTTTTTCCAATGGATTACAGACTCTGTTTCCAAGGGGTTAAAGCATTGCTACAATGGAATTACCGACGACGTTATGGAATTATAATCAACACAATGGAATTACCAAGAACATTGTGGAATTACCTTTGACTTTGTTTTCCTTGCTGGATTACTTTTGACTTTTGTTTTCCTTGCTAGATTACTCTTGACTCTTGTTTCTTTGCTGGATTACTCAAGCTTCAAGGACAATCGAAGGCGTAAGTTCATGTTTGGAATTCATCCCCATGGACAGGTGATGATTTCCAAAGGGGGGACTGTAGTGAACTTAACCTGATGTCAAAACTAAGCCTAAGGTCAAATCCCTTGACCTTAAGAACCTTGTGGGACAGAAACTGTTATTTCATTGATTTGAATCCAGAAATACAGGTTCACCCATCCTGAGACTTTCCTTCTTGAAAATCAAGTGAAAGAACACTCTCTTTTTATTATCATTACTATTTTACAAATGTTGATAATCAAAGTGTCTTAGTTCAAACCATTTTAGATGTTGCAGTGAACTAATCAATTTTATTAACTGTGAAACAGGGTAATGATTTTTTAATGCTTATGCAGAGTTAGAATTCATGTTAAGGTCTGTTACAGATTTTTATGCATTTTCTGATTTCTGTCTTTGAATGAGCAAGTGTGCGTTTTCCAAGGTCAGGAGTCGAAGCAGACATGTGTCTTGTTTACATCCTCTCAGACGTCAACAGGGGAGCTGGCACCTGTTTCCAAAACTCGCCAAAACAAAACTCTCTCTGTCTCTGAGAACAGTTTAATCTGTTCCATAACAATTCTTGCTGTTTTCTGACTTCTAGTAACCTATTACATCACAAAACACACCCTGTCTGGTTGATATTACCCAATAAGGGACGCTCAAATATACCGGAAATAGAGCTCTTTAAAATGCCGGTACTTCCTAGTTCTCTCAGAGTCTGAGCAGTGCGGTGAAGCTTCTGAGGAGTTCGGTGAGGCGCTGAAAAGTCGTTTGGGAGAACAGAAGTCCAGCATGATAAGGCTCCTCCGAGTTGGATTATAATATCCTCCACCTCTGAGTGGAACTTCTGAAGGACCCCACTCATGTGAAGTCTATTGCTGATGTGAGCTGGTGTCGGACGCAATCTCGTCACTACTTCGGACGAGTCACAGCCATCCTATGGAGACGCTGGACAGGTAGCGTTAACTGGACCTCCATATCTGCTGATTAATCTTCAGAAAGGTAATGAGTCAAGTTTCCTACCAAAGCGTACCGAGGAAAGCTGGGTTCTGATGGAGAGTGTCGGTTCTGGTGAACACTTCCCCTCACATACCATCTTTTACTTCTTTTAAACTTCATTTCCATCTTTAAATTCTTCTCTCAAGTAGAAATCCTTCCAGATATTTTAGAAATGTCTGTGTAAAGTGCTCATCCACGCCGTGTGGATAATTGATCATAATTGTACAGTTTTCATTGATGTCTGCTGTTCTGCTGAAGAGTGGAAACAATCGCCGAATTGTTTCTCACTACCTGTAAAGCTGTTAATGATGTTGTTATTTCCATATTTTGCCAAATTAATGTAAATGTTTGATGTTAAACTTTGATTCTGTAAAATAAATGACCGCATTCATTTTGATGGGTCAAAGATAAATGACGTCTCACGTTTGCATTTCATTAACATCAATGCACGTTTTATTCAGTCCAGAAAAATGAGGAATCCGTTTTAATTGATGAATATATCTCTGCATCTGTTCATCTACAGTTGTTTTACTTTGCATTATACTTGCCAACAGTCTTTGTATGTACCACCTGTGCGATGCTGCTGGAATTTTAATTTCCCTGAAGCAATCTCCCCAATAGATCAATAAAGTTTTATCTAATCTAATCTAATATAATATAATGTCCAAAATTTACATTTAAGCTAAATGGCGTGTGTATCGCAACAACCTGTCTCCATCATTTGCCCAGAATGCATTGCAGCGTAAATAAAATGGCGACGTCCGTGTGTCATTGATATTTAAATTAATAAATATTAAAAATTATAAAAACTAAACAGCCTAGAATATATTTACACTCACATTTTTATATCTAAAGTAATTATTCATCAAATAGGGTCTATTGTTCCAACTAATCAGAGAGCCTTTTAGGCCTGAATGACTCATACGTAAGAATGAAATGGTTAAAAACATAAAAATTTGCCCTTGTACATGCTTGGATAGTTGAAAATAATTGTGAACCAGCAACCAAAGAAAAAATTTGAAGGACTTTCAGAAAGCCTGAAAAACTCCTGAGACCCTTTGTGGACTGGTGCCAGCAGAACCACCTCCTGATCAACGCTGCTAAAACTAAGGAGCTGGTTATGGATTTCCGCAGGCACAGGTCCACCTCACTGACCCTGGTGAACATCCATGGTGTGAACATCGAGATTGTGGACTCTTACAAGTACGTGGGTGTTCACCTGAACAATAAACTGGACTGGTCTCACAACACTGATGCACTTTACAGGAAGGGTCAGAGCAGACTCTACCTGCTGAGGAGACTGAGGTCTTTTGGAGTGCAGGGGGTGCTCCTGAAGACCTTCTTTGACTCGGTAGTGGCATCAGCCATCTTTTATGGTGTTGTGTGTTGGAGCAGCAGCTTATCATCAGCTGAGAAGAAGAAGCTAGATAAGCTCATCAAGAAGGCCAGCTCTGTGCTTGGACGCCCCCTCGACCCAGTGCAGGTGGTGGGAGACAGAAGGACTCTAGCTGAAATAACATCATTGCAGGACAACATCTCCCACCCCATGCATGAAGCTGTTGCTGAACTGGAGAGCTCGTTCAGTGACAGATTACTGCATCCTAAATGCACAAAGGAGCGTTACCGCAGGTCCTTCCTCCCAGCAGCTGTTAGACTACAACCATCACTGCTCCCAACAAACCCAATAAGGATTAAATACATGCTGACCTCTGCTTAAACACACACTCTGCCTGTAATACTGTACTGTAAATAGTCTGTCCTTATCAATGTTCCAACACATATTGAACATTATTATTGATACTGTTTATCTTATTTCTTTATATATTGTATTGTTTATTAACATTTAGGAACTTTTGTGTGAAATCTTTAAATCTTTTTATCTTTTTATCTGTTGCTGCTGTTGCTGCTGATACACTGGAATTTCCCATCTGTGGGACAATAAAGGCTTTTTCTATTCTATTCTATTCTATTCTATTCTATTCTATTCTATTCTAAAGATTAGAAGATGAAAGTTTTGCTGCTCGTGACAAACACAAACCCTGACCCTTATTGTTCCGTCACTGACTACAGCTACTCTGTCGGCCTCTGAGAGCTGGAGCCTGTAGAGGTCCGGGCTGCACTTCAGATCATCGCTGCATGATCCTTATAGATGACACCAGGCCCGAGTTGTGAGCTATCAGAGCGCACTGGGCTGCCTGGCGTGCTCCAGACAGGCCCCCAGTAGGCCCACTCTAACATCGTCTGGGGCCACAGTGGGACAGGGCGCACACACTCTAATACCCTTCGACAGCCAGTCACAACACAGTCAGAGACACACGGCGTCTCTCACTTGACTAAAGCTGCTAGATAAAGGCCCCTCGCTGCCCGGGTGGTGGCGATTTAAAAGTCAGGGACGCTTGAAGTCTAGATTTATCCATAAGTGACTCTGCACACAGCCCCTGCTGCAACAGTATGGAAGTAAACTTAATCATAACTTTACTTCTTGAAGTAGACGTTGTCCTCTTCCCAAAACCAGGTGTAGGTCAGGTTGCCAGGATACGCCTCGGCTTGGCAGGTGAAGAGTGCATTCTGCGATATGTTTACTGTCACGTTCTCAGGAGGTGAGACGATGTATGGAGGCCCTGAAAGAAGAAGAAGTCTTATCAGTTATTCTGAGCTTAATCAAACTTTGGCTGCTTCATAGTGATGGTATCAACCTTTAAAGTGAAAATGATCCTTCCAGTTTAGTGACTGATTGACGGTACACATCCTGCACCAGCAAAACTATGTATACTGATTTATTTGATCATTTCTTCAGGCCACTTGAATTTGTGTCTGGCTTTCACTAAATTTATATTTGTTTTTTTGGTTCAGTCTGCTCCTAAATGTTTTTTGGTGGGTATATATTCAAAGATAAGGTACTGTATTTAGTTCTGCAAGTTAAAATAAAATAATAAAAAAGGCTTTGGTTATAAAAGTAAAACACGTGATTAAAAAATCGCAGTAGAGCCAGGTACAGCTACAGAGAACAGTGATAATTATCTTTGTGGCCTTATACATAGAAACACACAAAACATCGTTTCAATAAAAAACACCAAACACTTGTATTTTATTTTCCCTTTTGGGCTTCTTTCAAGTAAGTTTTAAGATTCTCATTAGGTTTACTAATGTTAGCTTGTAGGTTTGCTAGTATGTGGAAAAATAACTGCAACTGAGTCAAGGTCCGAAAAGACACTCAGTATATTTCTAAACTAAATATTTACAAGCCAAACTAAAGAAATTAAATTTTTTGAAATGGAAGAGCAAGCCCAAGTTAGCAGAAGAAAGCAGAAAGAACACATATTTGCTGAAGTAGATTTAAATAAGCAGAAATGAGCACATAAAATAGGAAAGTTGCTAAAAAAAAAAAAAAAAAAGCTGAAATTTGCACCAAAAAATGGCTGAAACGTAGCTGAATAGGCAGAAAGAAGCCTAAACCACCAGAAGAAGGTGAAAGGAGCTGAAATGAGCTAAAACAAGTGGAATTAGCTGAAAAGGCTCAATTTAGCACAAAACAGTGCTGAAATAGTAAAAAAAAAAAAAAAACAGAAACTAGCAGCAATAAGCTGAAAGGAGCATAACGAGCTGAAATTAGCAGAAATAAGTTAATTAGGCTGAAAGGAGCAGAAATTACCAAGAAAATTTTGAATATATCTGAAAACAGCTGAAATTAGCTAAAAATGCTATAAAAGTAGCTGAAAAGGTAGAACAAGCTTAAATTAGCTGAAAAAAGCAGAAAGAAGACGTGTTTGTCCAATTAGGCTGAAAGAAGCAGAATGAGCACAAAAACGTGAAAATTATCTGAAACAAGCTGAAATTAGCAAAAAAAAAACAAAAAAAAAACCAGCTGAAAAGTACTTTGTAGCTTAAAAAGCAGAAAGAAGCTTAAATTACCAGAAAGAAGTGGTGAGAGAGCATTTTTGCTGAAATAGACTGAAAAAAGTTGAACTGAGTGCAAAAAGTGTGGAATTAGATGGAAAAGCAAAAGTTAGCTCTCTTTTGTTGTTGTTGTTGTCTTCTTTCGGCTGCTCCCTGCTTCAGGGGTCGCCACAGTGAACTAAGTCACACGAAGAAGTGGCAATTATTTTTATGCCGGATGCCCCTCCTGACACAACCACAGACCACTGAGCTACCACAGCCCTCTGTGTGGAGCAGAGAGCTGCCATGTAGGGTGCCCAGGGGAGCAGATGGTGGAGGTTAAGAGCTCAGGTGTGGGTGCTTCACCTTTCCCACACACATTGTGATGTCGGTACCAGGAGTTGAACCAACGATCTTCCAATCACAGGCCCACCTTCTCTAACCTCTGCGCCACCACTCCCTTTGTAGCATTAAAAACTACTAAATAGCTGAAATAGAAAAGCTGAAAATTTCATAAATAAGCTGAAAGGAGCATAGCAAGTTGAAATTAGCAGAAAGAAGTTAGAAGAAGCACAAAACTGAAGGGAGCACAAAACAGCTGAAAAATCAGCTGAAATGAGCTGAACGTAGCTGAGAAAATGTTAAAATTTTCACAAGGCAGCTGAAAGAAGCTGAACCAGAACAAAATGTGAAAGGAGCAGTTAAAGGTTGTAAACAGATCTAAAGATTTGAAGGATGTAAAATGAGCTCAATATTTATTTGGTTTTTTTTTAGAAAATTCAGAAGAAGAAAAAAAACTGGAAAAAAATGACAGAGAAAGATAACTATTTCAAAAAGCTAAAGCTGCAGCAATTCCAAAAGTTGTAGCAGAATTGTCCTGAAAGAGCTGAACGTTTTGATATGTAATTTGTTGAAATAGCTGGAAAACTGCGGGACGAGAATCGCACCGAAAAACATTTGGAAGAAAAACGGATCACGATAATGTAAGCAAACATTAAAGCAGTGGTCCATCCAAAAAGTCAAATCACTAGCAAGAGTGAACAAAATTATATATAAATGACAGCCAATCAGAAGTTAAACTTGATAATATCACTAAATATTTACGGTCTCTCAGAAAAAATATCAAATAAAATCCTTTCATGTCCTAAAATTAAATGTGCTCTAAACGCTGCCTGACTGAAAAGACGAGTTTCTTTTAGGTGTTGACTCAGAGAGTTCTTTATCCGTTCTTAACAAAGATGTAGGATTGTTTTCAGGGGTGAAGGCGCCATATTAGTGAGTAATCTAAAGACGAGCCGGACACCTGAGCACATGATTAGATTATTTAAACTTATATTTAAAGAGCAGATTAAAACAATGATCCTGTAAGGATTTCTTGTGCAACAGTCTGGAATAACCTCCTGGCTGGTTCGGAAAATAAATACATTAGATTTTTAAACAGCATATGTTCAAGAAATAAAATTACCCTGTCTTTGCTAGAATTTGTAGTGTTTTTGGGTCTTTTACAGTATATAAAGTACAAAATTACTTAAAAAAATGAGGAAAAAACAAATAAATTGTTAAAGTAATTTGCACTAAAAACAAGCATCCACTTCTTCCACTTCCAAAGTGTCGTCTTTTTCTCTCTGTAACACATCAGTGTGAGAAAACGCACACACTACATATTATTTACAATATCTCACTCCGGTCTGGAGTAAAATCAGCCTGCTACTGTAACATTAATAGTAGTTGGAGGTGCAGCTTATGCGTGCCTCACATTGTAACCTCTCCACCCCCTCAGGTTCCCCAGGTTAGCTCTAAACTCTCAATAAAACAGCCGAAGCCATGAAAGGTAAGCTGTCTTTTATGAGAGGGGCCAGATCCAAAGCTCCTGCTTATTTTCCTCTCGGCGTGCATGGCTTCATACATCAGCTGGGATGAGTGGCAGCACTGAGGCTCCTGCAACATTTAAAAGCAGATCACTGCAGTGAGAACCATCACTGCTCTGGAATCTGCAGTCTGAGGGAGTGGGACGCAATCCCTCTTTGATTTCGAAACTTTTATCCATGTAAAACTGCACCAAACTCTGGAATAACTTCTTATTTTAGCGGTTTTATTGAACCACTGTTAATGTGCTGAGAATAAAGGAACATGTCAGATCCTAGTGCTTTAGGACCACACTAAGAATTTTTTTTAAAGACATAAAATTATGAGAATAATGTCATACAATACTTTTATTTTTTTTACAGCTCTCGTTTATTTTTGTTTCCACGTTTGGATCCACGACGCGACCTGTCAATCCAGTAGGCGTGTCAGCAAATGACCAATCCGAAACTAAATGCTCCGTACCTGCAGAGCTGCGCTGCAGCCCATCAGAGCGTACCACCTTACTGTAACCAGTTTCAAAGTCCTGATACTCACAATAATCTGATGCTTATGTAGTATAACTCAACAAGGTGCTCAACATTCTTCATTTTACCACAGTTAAAATGCAGTAATCCTGCTTTATCGTGTCGGAGTTCAGATAATATTACAACTCATTTAGCTTCGGATTGGTCATTAGCTGACACGCCTATTGGATTGATTGACAGGTCGCGTCGTGGATCCGACTCGTGGGAAAAAAAAAAGACGAGCATTTCAACAAAAAAAAAGAAGTCTCGTACAACTTTATTCTCGTAATATTAAGACTTTATTCAACTTTATTCTTGTAATACTAGGGCTTTTTTCTCGTAATTTTATGGCTTTTAATTTTTTTTTCTTAGTGTGGCCCTAAAGCTCCGTTGTACAGAAAGGTTATCAACAACCCAACAAAGTTAAGTCAAGTCCTCTGGACCAGTGGTTCTCAAACTGGGTTCCCAGACCTCCGGGGGTCCGCGAACTGGTGCTTGGAGGTCTGCAAAAAAAAAAAAAAGCAAGTGTATACACACACACATATATATACATATATTTTTTGTTTGTTTCTTTGTACAAGCACGTCGATGTGTAACAATCCAACGTAATTACCATGATCCGTCTTTATAACAATAACAACATTTATTTTCACATTTTTGTTATATCTGTTAACACGAGCACAGACTTCAGTCGTTACATCACACCCTTCAGAGCAACATGTATGAATTATCATCTCGAAAATATTTCTGCACTGATCAACTGTATTTACAGTTGTAGTATGTGTACAATTAATTAAAACGAGCCACACAGCTCCATAACATTTGAAACGTGGTTCACTTCATGTTGCGATTTAAGACATACGTTTCATATTTATACCTGAGCAGCTACTTTTACAAGCTCCGCAGCATTAAAAATGTCTATATGAATAAAGGCCTGTTAACGAGTCTGAAAATCACATCAAAAGCCTGTGAACGTTAGCATTAGCCTCCTTTCGTCTGCTGCAGTCTATTTCTAGTCAAGTCACATTTATTTATATAGAGCATTTAAAACAGTAACTGTTATCAAAGTGCTTACCAAAAAAGATCACAGCATCAAATATTAATAACAAGATATTACAGCAACATAAATAAAAGCATAAAAACATGAAATATAATGAAAAACAATGAAATACTAAATCAAATCACTCTGCCAATGTACCACTACCAATCACACTACCAATGTAGTGTACAGATTCTTTACACTACCGATCCATGTTGGTCTTTGTCCTGCTTGAACTAGCTTGTTAGGTCATTCACATACTTATTTACAACAAGTGATATATTATTAAAAACTTTTTAACAGAACTCCACTTCAAGAGATTCTAACTATGACCTTTTTGAATCAAATGCTAGAAACACCCTTCACTCAGTTTTACGTGACTGCAGACAAATGTGTTTTTATTGTGCGTGTGTGTTTGTGTGTGTACTGTTTGTGAACACAGAGAATAGTAACTAATTTGCTGTTCGCACCTAAAGAAGTCAAGCATTAAAGCAGACCTGACCCCCGCTCTGCGTTAAAACCAGGACGCCCAGTTTCTTGTAAAACACGCACCGTTAACTCCACGAAGCCGTGCTGTATCAGGAGACGGAGAAGAACTGCAGGCTGGTATCACAACCATCTATCTGATCTGTGTCTAACAGAAAGAGCCTGCCTAATGGACCGGAGACAGACGCTGACGTTCTCACAGATCCAGCTGTACGCACACATTCACATTAACAGACCCCAGATTGGAGTATCGGACTGAGCTGATACAGCCCCACCAGGTATGTCACACACATCGGTGCGCTGCAGAGCCGCACCGCTTTGCCTTTAGGTCCAAACGCTGAAAGCTGATGCGGCGATGCACACACACAGAAGCAGAGAACAAGAAACACGTTTCGTGTTAGTGTGAAGACGGTACCTTGAACCAACAGCCGGGTGGTGTGAAGCACTTCTCCCTGATCACTGTACGCCCTGCACGTGTACGCTCCTCTGTCATCCCTGGTGATGCCGAGGACGGTCAGACTGCCGTCATGTACCTGTGGTCCCACAGAAAGGAGAACCGGGTTAAACGTTTTACACACAAAGCATAAAAAAAACTAAAGCTGGATTATTAAACCTACATCGAATGATCAACAGAAAATTCAACAGCAACGACGTTTGGTCATTTATTTCATCAAAATATTAATTTTCTCGGCCATTAAACCTAAAGTTATATATTACGTTAGAACTGTCAGCCCTAACAGACTATTTAAATATTTGATTTGTTTAGATGTGTAGTTTATATAGAGGATTTACTGCTATATTTAACATTTTATGGACCAACCAGAACATTGAATAAAATGTGGGAACACATCGGCTGAATCGATAAAAAAGTGATCGATTCAAGGTCATTCATCTAAAAGGAAAACAAAAACAATATAATTTATAGGATTCTGTGATGGATTAAACTATATTTTGTTCAAGATGCTTCAAATCAACCTGGATTTAGCAGCTAATAATTAATTTAGTTAATATTCAATCAGCTGAATGTTTAGTCCAAAACGACAAACTCAATTAAATGTCGACTGTAGATTCTCAGCATCTTAATGGTTTTTCTACATTTTAAACTAATTCAAAGTTAATTTTATATATTTAGAATTACTTATAATAGTGGTAACATCATCAAACATAAATAGTCCTGAATTAATAAAAAGACAGGATTACAGAATACAGAATAATACAATAATAATACTTTTTAACAACAATTATAAGGATTTTGGTGTTTTCCTCAAACATGCTTGGGCACATAGTGAAACTGGGGTTCAAACTACGGATCTTCTACTCGATAAAAAAATAACAACTATACTTGTTAAAGAAGTAGTGCAGCTATTTTGAAGAGAAGTTTTTAAGAAAGGCTATGAGCCGGAAAATGGTAGAGTGCCCTCTCCGGGTCAGGGTGGAGGTCCTGCCCCTCATCTATGGTCATGAGCTTTGGGTTGTGACCAACAAAATGAGATCTCGGATACAAGCGGCCAAAATGAGTTTTCTCCGCAGGGTGTCTGGGCTCTCCCTTTATTTTATAAACTTTTATAATGTCCTCAATTTTGCATCACTGCAAAAATAATATTTCTACTGGAAGTGACCCAAGTTGCACCAGATGTGCTACAGCTAGCTGCTTCTGCTTATTGCAAATAACCATACAATCCAATGTAGGAATCCATGTAATGCTAAATTTCAGTCAAAGTCAAAGTTTCTTTGTTTGTCATACATGTGGTACATGTGGTGGAATAAAATTGTGTATACAGGGTCCCAGTTACATCCAACAAAAGTATAAACTGTAAAGAAAAACAGTAATAAGATCTAAGATATGAACTAAGAAAAATATTAAACTAAAAATACACTAAGCACTAATAGCAAAAACAAAAACATAACACCGAACAGCAGCTCAAAAATGAGTCTGTGTGAGCAGATGAGTGTGAATGAACACGGCAACATGAATAAATCGGTAGCATGAGATCAGCAAGGTGGATAATCAGCAGCACATATCAACAGTCAAGTGGCATTACAGTGATTTTTCACAGTGATTATCCTGGTTATTATTATTATTATTATTCATGAGTCTAACAGCCTCAGGGTAGAAGCTGTTCCTCAGTCTAGTGGTTCTACACTTAATGCTTCTCAACCTCCTTCCTGAGAGGAGCGGGGCAAAAAGTGTGTGTGCTGGGTGAGTGGGGTCCTTCATGATGCAGGTGGCCCTGTATTTATGGCAATGTAAAGGTTTATAAATAGTTCAAAACATCAATGTTTATGTTCAATAATCCAGGTAAAAAAATCCAACAAAGTTAAGTCATGCCCTCTGGATGGTTTATTGTTTTTGTTGAAATGTTTTGTCTTTCATCCAAAGGACGTCATCAGTCCGAGGAGCCCCAGCAAACTCAGTCCCACAAGCAGCACACCCACATAGTGGGCCAACAAGTTTGATGGTAATAAGACGGTTTCTGCAGTCCTCCCTCTCTCCCGTCGACTCCTGTAAGGCTGCCATGGCCAGGGTGGTTCAAACAGAAACTGTCTAGATGTCCTGACTGAATTTGTTTAATTTTTTTACCTGGATTATTGAGCATGAACTTCGATGTTTTGAGCCACTTTGGGAATGGCTGCCTCAGAGAAGTCGACGGGAGAGAGGGCGGGCCCCAGAAACCATCTTATCACCATCAAACTGGTTGGCCCACTATGTGAGTGTGCTGCTTGTGGGACTGAGTTTGTTGTGACTCATCGGACTGATGAAGTCCTTTGGATAAAGGATGAAAGGTTTCAACAGCAACAACAAAAAAATGTCCAAAGGACCTGACTGAACTTACATGGATTTATAAAATAGTGTTTGCATAAACTGGTTTTAGCCACATTCTGGCTAGCCATTAACTGGTCGTGCGAAGTGAGATTGTTCTAGCAGCTATCTAAAACCGGTAGGATATTTATTGTCCATAACGTCTCTGCATAACCCTACTTTAAAAAAAAAATCTTAACAAGTCCTTTAATATTGCTCATTAAAAGTACAATGTTGCGTAAAGGGAAATCCTGACAGTACAATGTTTGGAATGTGACTTTCAGAGCTCTTTCAAGTAAATCTGCAATGAGAATCAACACAAAAATAAAACGGAACAAAACTCAATCAATTCCCCAAAGCCGTCAACATGTTATTCTTTAACTGATCCCGCACTTCGTAACCTTGGAACTGTCCTTGTTTTCAGGCGCCGACGATGAAGAAACACATTAAACAAACCCAACTGGAACAGCCTCATAAATTATGCAACAGGTTGCGAGGGGCTCTGTCCATTCAAGTCACACACAGCTGTAGTCTGTCCATTCCCGCAGCTGAGAGGGGGATCTGCTGCGCCTGCACCGTTTACTTCCATTCATCTGTCTTTCAAACGTTTAGGAGCCAAGAGATGATACTGTTAGAGAAACCAAAGCAGCTTTTAACTTCTGCGAATCTGTTGGCAAACTGTGTCCTCATCTATTTATCACAAGATAACACTTTGTGTTTCGCTGCGATAAACAAGCAGGGCATGCAACGCGCTGGGTGCTGCGAGTGTAAACCAATCAAGAACTTGTTGCGAAGAATCCCTTTGAGCTCTGGAAGCCACGTGCAACAATTAAAACAGCCAAAAAGATTTGAATTAGATTCATTTTAATAAGGAACACCGGCTGATTGATGAGGAGCGATTATTCTTCTTGTTCAGCCTCGTTCATGACTGAGTGACTTTTAATGCTCCGCTCCGACTCGTGTCAGGACTCCAAATTAATTAGAGCCTCTGCCGTAGTCTGAGTAGCCGTGTCGGTGACAACAGAGCTGTGAAAACGAGGTGTTAAAACAGAAAGCAAAGTGATTTTTTTTAAATGTAGTTTAATTGTATTATACTAAATGCTGAGCAAACCATCAGGATGAACTCTGATTAATTCAGAAGTACTCAAAATGTGCGCCCCATCAAAGGTGGGGGGCATGGCGGTATTATATGGTATGGTATGGTATGGTATGGTATGGTATGGTATGGTATGGTACGGTCCCCAATCCATGGGGGGACCATACCATACCATACCATACCATACCATACCATACCATACCATACCATACCATACCATATAACAATACCAGGATTGCCTCTGACTTAAACATATTGCAGGCAGAACTAATATTGCAATGCCTTGTTGCAGTCTTCTTCTTCTTATTATTATTATTTTGTCTTTACCCTCTTCAGGGGTCGCCACAGCAAGTCATTCTCCTCCATCTCACTCTGTCTTCTGCATCCTCTGTACTAACTCCAAGTACATCCATATCCTCTCTCAATGCATCAACATATCTTCTCTTTGTCTTTTTCCTGGCAGCTGCATTTCTAACATCTTTCTACCAATATACCCACTGTTCCTCCTCTGGGCATGTCCAAACCATCTCAGTCTGGTCTCTCTAACTTTGTCTCCCAGTTGTTCAACCTGTGCTGTGCCTCTGATGATCTCCTTCTTAATCTTATCCATCCTTGTCACTCCTAAGAAGAACCTCAACATCTTCATTTCTGCCACTTCCAGTTCGTTCTCCTGTCTTTTTGTCAATGCCATTGTCACCAGACCAAACAACATAGCTGGTCTCACCACTGTCTTGTAAATTTTTTCTTTGACCTTTGCTGACACCCTTTTGTCACAAATCACTCCTGAAACTTTTCTCAATCCACTCTATCCTGCCTGGACTCTCTTTTTCACCTCTTTACCACCCTCCTCATTTTTCTGGACAGTGGACCCCAAGGTACTTGGAGTCCTGCACCTTTGTGACCTCTGCTCCTTCTAGCCTCACTGTTCCACCGGCCTCCCTCTCATTCACACATGTACTCTGTTTTACTACGGCTGACTGTCATTCTTGTTCTTTCAAATGCATACCTCCACCTCTCCAAGTTCTCTTCCACCTGTTCTCTGTTCCCACCACAGATCACACTGTCATCTGCAAACATCATTCCATGGGGATTCTTGCCTGACCTCATCTGTTAGTCGGTCCATCACCAGAGCAAACAAGAAAGGACTCAGAGCCAATTCTTGATGCACTCCCACCTCCATCTTGAAGCTATCTGTCACTCCTACAGCACATCTCACCACTGTCCTGCTGTCCTTATACATGTCCTGTACCAGTCTAACATACTTCTTTGCCACTCCAGATTTCCTCATGCAATACCACACCTCCTCCCTCGGCACTCTGTCATATGCTTTTTCTAAAACCACAAAGACACAATGGAGTTATTTCTGACCCTCTCTGTACTTCTCCATCAGCATCCTCAAAGCAAAGATGGCATCTGTGGTGCTCTTTCTTGACATGAAACCATACTGCTGCTCACAGTCACTTCTCGTCTAAGTCTATCTTCCACAACTCTCTCCCAGACCTTCATTGTGTGACTCATAAACTTAATTCCACTATAGTTGCTACAACTCCGTACATCACCCTTGTTCTTAAAAGCACTGCAGTCCGACCCAATTTTAGGAATGCACAACACAACAGATCTATCAAATGTTAAGGTAT